GCCAGAGTGCCGGGTCCGGGTTTACCGTCGATTCCTGCCCATCAGCTCTATCTTAGTCGTCCGATTGCCCAAGCCACATCCACACAATCCTCATCGGATCCTCAGACCTTGGTTGGCAAGCCTTCTGCCTTCTTGCTTACAGCAGTACAACCTGGCTGGGTTTTACTGCGTTTCTTGCAGCCTTACGACTGCGAGATTCGACGTCACGCCCGCAGTAAGCATCGCGATCTCAATTATGATTGTCGAGGTGGTAAGCAAAAGTACCCAAGTATAAGAATGACTGCATAACAGATATGAATTGTGGATAGTGGGTAGCTGAACCACTGTGCATGAGTAGTCGAGCTGTCTCCGAGACCGGTTCCCCGTCCTTGCAGCCCTAGTCAGGGGTGAGAGACTGACGCGACGACAGATAAGATGGGTTCGTGACTGTAAACCATGCAAGCAGCAAGAGAGAGTGAGACAAGAGAGCGAGTCATAATGACAGGTCGTTTCATCGGGCCAGGGGGAGGCGAAAGTTGCTGCAGTGCACGGAGTAGCCGTACCCGAAACGGTTTAGTCGTGGCTTGCCGCGCATCGTTTCAGGGGCACCACCACTTAGTAAGGTACGAGTTACAACTTGAACCAACCAACCACCCACTTATTGTAGCAGCCGCATTTGCAGCTACGAAGTACGTAGCGAGGAAGACTCCAGACATTGTCGCGAGTCAGTAGTTCGTTTCCCCTCTATCCCACTCTATCCCATCCCAAATCCCCAACGCATACCCAAAACACAGTTCCTGTTTTCCGATTCATCTCCCTCGCACACACGCACAACAATAAAGTAAAAACCTGCCAAACGAACAAGCCTCCTTGCATCCAGGAACGGGACTAGAACAAATCTCACGAACCTAATGTTAGTTACGTGACTATGGAGTACATAGGGTACAACGTCCCCTGTCCACTGTCTCCAGGCACCTCGTATTATCCGAGCTCCCGGGGTACGTACATAGTAGAAGGAGGGGCGGCGGCGGCGGCGGCGGCTGAGCCTGAAGGATTACTATGCGATTAAGACCTGTCCTGTCGCCTGTCGCCTGTCACTACGTACCTCCAGTACTGGTGGTACCCAACAGCAACAACTCTTTTTGCAAAAAATAACACTAACACTAACACTAATACGAACACTAGGTGAGCTGTCTCTCACTTCCCCCAGGATTTCCTGGTCATGGCTATGGCCTATTTCTCTATAATTATCAATAGTGTCTCAAGTCTAAATCTGACGGATGGAGAAGAGGGGGGGCGCGCGCGCGCGAACGAATAGGGCGGGTTACTATTTCTGGTGGTTTGTTGTGTGGTCGGTTCATCTGGTTATCTATCTTTGGGGGTTTGGGTTTGGCTTGGCGCTTTGCTTTTGACTTAGTATCTTCGCAATGGATTGGGTAACGTAACTTGCTCTCGAGAGTGATCTCGAGTTCTCGAGACATGTCATTGAGGATTACTTACCTTAGGTAAGGGCATGGTGGAGGGGGAGATACGGTAGATGCCGGTAGGCAGAGCTCGTTTTCCAGTGACTGGCTGACCTGGCCTGACCTGTCCTGACCGGATCAAGGCAGGATGAAGAAAAACTGTAGGTAACTAACGGGCACGCCTCGGGCTCATGGTATCCTCGCAATGCTGAATCTACCATGGTGTACAGTACCTGGGAAATCAAGCCGGTCCTGCAGACCTTATGCAATGCAACCAAACCTGGTTCCAGTGCAATTTGCCTTCCCTGGCCCTGATTAGATTAATAACTGTCGTCTTCACGGAGCACTACGGGGGACTACTACAACTATTACTCTCACTTGATTTGCTGTGCGCTGTGTGCTTCTTAGCGTGACATCCCAACCCCAGGGGAGCAGGGCAGGGTAGTTCGAACGAGACTAAACAGGATTGATGGACTGCAGCTAATTGCTGCAGCTTATATTGTACTCTACATATAGTCTAGCACAAAGACATGGGCGGTCGGGATCACCTACAGGTTGAAGAGCAAGACGGTTGTGGTCGGGAGGGAAGGGAGGGAGGGATGATGATCCTGCACGTCAATCTACCATCTTCTACTGATGATGAGAGCTCACACCAATCGATCCCGCAGGATACGCAGATAACTTGGACAGTACGTACGTATCTGATCAATAACTACTAGAGAGATGACTGATAAGTTAATGCTTCTCTTCCCGTACTCGGGCTAACTTAGGGCGGGCGCCTAAAACTACCCTCCGACCCTCCTAGTGGATATATGAGTTGGTAGTCTAAATTCACAGTAGGTCGGAGTCTATAATCGACCTAGTGCCGTGGAGGACTTGTAGCGTGTGCGCTGGGGAGGCCATGCATGAATCTATGCTGTTACGAGGATGGCGTTCTTCTGCTCTGTCTGTCCCAGCGGGTATTTCGGAGTGGGCATTGGCGACTCCGATGGATATTTCGGTTCTGGTCCATGAGATTCATGATGATGATGATGATGATGATGATGATGATGATGGTATTAATCACGATGATGAACAACTGACGCAAAACTCCCAGTGGAAACCTATATCCGCCGTGTTCCGAGTCAGAAAGGCTGAAGATGGACCCTGATTCGAAGCTCTCATGCGACCACGACGAAACCCAGACCTTCCCTGCGCTTCCGATATGCCCAATGATTCATGATGGATTATTATCGTCGGCTCTGAAACCCTGGAAGGCGATGGAACGAACACATGGCAAACTGACCGTCCCGAAACCAAAAAAAATTACAGATACTCTGGTACGAGTGGAGCAATGGTTCCAAGTGAAGGAAATGAGATTCCCCACTGTTCATTCCGCGCCGTTGGCAAAAAAAGTGGGAACAACATGCAGCAGCAGCAGCAGCAGCAGCAGCAATGGCCTTGCGGATTGCGGAGGCAGTGTAAATCATGGTCAATCATGGTCAATCATCATCTCCTCGGGTATGTGTAATTAGCGCTTTTTGGTGGTCGGAGGGTTAACTGAAAAAGACATCGAATTGCGATTGTCGTTCCTGGTGGTCTTCAATTTGGCGCTTCATTTCCTATCATAGCAATGTGGGTAGATCGGAATTCTCTAGCTCTCTTGATCGGTCATAGTCTGGCTGTGAAGTGGTGATCATGTGCCCTCTGTGCCTGTCCCGAAGTGGATAGACTAAACTAGACTAGACTGATCACTAAACCTCCCGCCAGGAAGCTGAGCCCGTCTCTTGTGCTTCTTTGCCATCCCGACACTCTAACGAGGTGAACTCATCAGTCTCCCTGTCTCTGTCCCTGTCTCTGTCCCTGTCTCTGTCTCACCTGCACTGCCCGTATCTTTGCCGATGAGTGATTGGCGCCTTGCGCCAGTCAATCACCTGCTTAATGCAGGTACTATGCACCTCGCTGCAGCTCTGACAATCCTAATTAGAATTTATGCAGCGCCGAGTACGGGGTACTGACTGCGAGACAGACTCGGTCGATCAACCCCCCCTCTCCCGAACCTCAATCTCCCTCTAAGGTTTATTCATCTTTAAGGATCAATCAATGTCGGTGTGGTCAGGATCCGCAGCCGATGGAGGCGAGAGACCACGATCGCAATCCATCTCCAGCGGTGAAGATCAACCTCAGACAGAGAATTGTCTCCGCTTCATGGAATGGTACCCGCCCTTCCAGAAGTCTTTCCATTCCACGGTTCACCGCTCTTTAATTAGCAGGAAACGAGGGGCAGATTTCCAGAGAGACGAGAAGATTCGGGGTGGTTTCGACGAATTGATATGGATCCATTTCGAACCCCCTCCCAACCAATGCCCGCTAATCGCGGGCTAAAAGGCCACTAATTATGATGCAAATCCCGCTAGCCACCAGTCCATCGTGAAGCGGTCCCAGCCGCCAAGCACATCGTGGGTTTCAATTGCAACCGATGGTCCACTACTGCTGTCTCTTCCTGCGCGAGCGCGCGCATGCGGTGTATGTCTACACCAATGATCGGTTGGATAGTCGCTATCCTGGTGCACGTACAGGTTGGGGTAGCCCGATTGCTGAACAAGAAGCCGACTATCCCCATTCCTTGACGTCGCGATTCGGTAATTCCTGTTGAACTTGTACGACCGTCAAGGCTGGTATCGAGGATTGGGCTTGAATACCCATCCCGCAGGCCCCATCGGAGCCGCCATAGAACAATAATGGAAGAAAGCCTCCGCACTTCGTTGGGCGTTGGAATTGACTCGTAAACTACTCTAAGGCGTTTTGGCCCTCCTCCTTGTAGGGCCCCTCTCAGATCTTGAAAGAAAACGGTGAGCCGAATTCGGAGGATCCTGCGCCACTTTTCTGTTGGGGAGACAGGGAACGGGATAATTCGGGTCCACCCGGGGTCAGGCTTCGATGTTGTTATCAGCAAGCTACTCTAAACGCTAAGCATGGACTCCGCTCAGCTGCCGAAATGCCAAACATCGTTCCGTTCAGGCCTTGATATCGTTTAGGGTTGTGTCTATATCACGACTCGATATAATTTTCCAAGGAAATTGCAAGAACTGCCCTGTCCAAAGAGAGCGCCCATGCCAGGATCTTGGCATATGCAGCAAGCCGGAAGTTAAACCAGCACTACAGGCCTGCAGATGCATCTGGCGCAGTGTTCCCGAGCATCGCGCAACTCGTTTCCGTCCAGAGCGCCATCTGTGGCGCTATGTGTGGTGAATCAACTGCGCCATGGTGAGAATGGCCGAATTGGGCCGTGAGAAGCTTCGCGCAAATGCAGGACCTTGAGACCGCGGGTTGCACAGAGAGCATTGTAGACAACGGTAGAGATGGCCTGATAGCTCCACAAATTGCACGTAGCACTACCGTCTCTGTTGCATAAACGGGTGCAGGGGTGTGTTTCATGGTGACCTCGAGGCTGCAGATCCAGGCATTGAGTGAATGCCGTGGAGCCTGCTACCGTGCCAGATGGAAGTCAAGATCATCACACTCTGCTCAATAACGGTCATGATCAGGGATGTCTGCAAGGCAGGGTTGCACATCATACTTGCCTCTTACAGCTAAGCAAAGTCGACGCGGACGAGATTGCACGTTCGGTCTGCCGACCATCGGATCCGAGAGTCAGCGCTGGCTATCACCGACCGATAGGCCCATCTACCCCGCACATGTCCAAGCAATTCTTCAGACTCAGTCCTCAATCAGGTCACCTTGAGCCTGTGTAGAAATCCATTCTTCCATCAGGACCTGGCGACCAGGCTCTGAGGAGCCAGGCGCCGCGGTCACCCCGTCACTTTTGCGTGTGACGAGCAGACACAGCACCCAGCCGTAGATGTTGAACCCCTCATAGTTCGTTTTGAACTGCATCTTCTTGTCCTCGGTCTCATCTATCTGTGGTATCGAATCCTCCTCTTTCCTCCGTTTGGAAGTGCGTCGATCATCCGGGGACTCGTCCCGCTCCTCCGTCGCTCGCGCACGTTTCCCTCCGGCATTGCCTTCTTCGACCGCACCGGCTTCGGGGATATCCTGCATCCGCAGGTCACTCTCGTCATCGCTTTCGACCAGAATATGACCCCCGGCGGTGCCATCGGCCCCCGCCTGACCTGGCAGCTTGTTCTGGCCGTTGATTGCGTCTTGTTCAAACTCCTTGTGTCGCGTCAATAGAGAGTGGCGTGTTCGAGATTCGCGAAGGAACAGGGCGACTTCGAAGTCATCTGCACCCATGGCATGATGTTAGCAAGTCTTGTTCTCAACCCCGCCGAAAACCAGAGGACTTCCGCTTGCATCGGCCGAAAGCCGGGGCATACCTTCTGCGATGACATCCTTGACGGGCTTGCCTTTCTTCCGGGCATAAAGTCGCTCGTTTTCTTCGCGTAACTTGGGCAGGACCAAGGGTCGAATGGCGGCAAAGATCCGTTGCAGGACGGGGTCACGGCTGCTGAGCAGCCATCGGATGTCGGAGGGCTTCTCGAGGTAGATCCGGCACTCGAGCACGGTGTATTTGCTGATCCGGAGGTAGCGGCGAATCGGCGCCATGAGGGCAGCGATCACGGTTTGTACGGATGGAATGTAGGTGCTGTGGTGTTGGAGAGAAAGTTGATACCGAAGTCGAATTTCGGGCTAGTATTCGGTAGCTTTGAAGAAGATAGATAGATAGATAGGTAGAGTGTCAGAGTGGAAGGGGATCGAGTATGCGTGTGTGTGTTGATGTTATGTGTGAGGTGGTTGTCGGCGAGAGTTGGCGGAAAGCGTGACGTGACCGGGCTCAGCTGCGCCGCCAAGCGCGCCCGGCAAGGGCGGAAAGACTGGGCATCTTCGGCATCTTCCCCCAAGGGCGGTGTGCAGTGTGCAGTGTGGTTAGGAGCCTGCGATATCTTGTCTCTTTCGTCGTCTCTTTCGAAGTCCCTCCATAATATACAGTGTTCTACCTGTATATTGCCATGCCAAAACCATAGTTAAGAATTTGGTTCAGACTAATGAGAGATGCGTGACCTCATGAGTCTATATTTGCTTCCTTGGGTACCCTGATGGTGTGATCTGGGGCTTGTTGAATTGACTTTTCGAGAGGGTGGTCCATGGTTCCTTCCCATTGATACTATAGTACATCTACTATTCATTCAACCGACTCATCCACAGCATAGAGAACGAGTGTATGAATAACCTGACCGGTATTCAACCTACTCCGTAGTAGATCTTTCTCTATGAAATGTCTGAACTTGGCTTTTCTCTCGTTTCCTCTTACGGCACAGCTAAAGAACTGACGTGTACTCTATTGTAGACTAACTACAGACATCTTATCATATCCTGTGTAAACACGTGACATAGCCCACCCCGAGATTGGTCCGGGCCAATCAGCAGCCCAAAAAATGGAGGGTCATCCTGTCCGCAAGGTCCCCAAGTGCCCGAGGAATTTGACGTCGGTTTCCTCCAAGGTCCCCATCCACTGCAACATCGACCCGCACCTTTCCCAGAACAGAGTCGAATTCTTCATCGCCCGCCACGATGGCCCTCCTCGTCCATTCCCTCTGTCCGCCTGCTTATTGCGCCTGTATCACCTCAGGTGCATCTGCTCGTTTATCCTTGCGACGTGTCGGTCATTCTTGAGTCGTCAGGCTATCTCAATCGCTCTCTTAGTCACTGCAGCTGGGTCGCTTCCGCCACTGTGCTACCAAGGTCCCCATCCGACAGGCTGCTGCTGTCTCGCCCTCACTAGTTTGACGTGGGCATTCTTGACTAGTCTCAAGGACCTTGGGGACTGTCGACGTGCCCGTTGGCAGCCGCACAACCGGATTTCGAACATTCAAGAGCGGGGGGTCGAAAAAAAACAGACCACTTAATAAAGAACGCGGACCTTGCAGACGGACACTGGCAGGCTGGCAGCATTCTCAACCCTTCACATTCCTCCTCCCACGTGCCTTTTTGACGCCTGCCACAACCCCTGTCACACACCCATCCGGCGATATCATTGGACTCCTTGACGGTGTCGCTGGCTTCTAGCGGTCGATCTATCCTGTTAAACCTTGTCCTTGAAGGCGGGCCCGTGCCACACATACACATCGCACAGCACAGGCCCAAGGATCCTTGAGTTGCCGACGGATCTGGAAAAGGACGAGTGAGCGCAGAAAGCATGGACTCCCTCCATACCCTCATTGCCAGAGACGATGGCTGCCCCACGGGCAACGACTACGACGGCCGAATCGGCCTGCGCATCTCCTCCATCTTCGTGATCTTCATCGGCTCGTCGTTCGGGGCTATCTTCCCCGTCTTTGCGCGCAGCTTCAGTGACGGCAAACTGTCGAAATGGGCCTTCTTCGTCGCCAAGTATTTTGGGTCCGGTGTCATCATTGCCACGGCGTTCATCCACCTGTTGGCCCCGGCCGAAGAGGCTTTGACGAGCGATTGCCTGACGGGGCCGATCACAGAGTACTCGTGGACTGAAGCGATTGTATTAATGACGATTGTGGTGTTGTTCTTCGTGGAGCTCATGGTCATGCGCTACGCACGCTTCGGGCACGGCCACGCTCATGACTCGGACAGCGAAGAAGACGACGACAGCCACCACCACCACCACGTCCAGCACCACCACCACCACGTGGAAGCCGAGCAGCCGGTGGCCGTCTCCGAGGACTTCAAAGGCCACATGCCGGGCGAAGACCACCTGGGCCACTCGCGCGAGCACCACGACGTCGAAGCGGGCAAGAACCACTCGCACCTGGAGGAGTACATGGCGCAGCTGACGTCCATCTTCATCCTGGAGTTCGGCATCATCTTCCACTCGGTGTTCATCGGCCTGACTCTCGCGGTCACCGGCACCGGGTTCGTGACCCTTTATGTTGTGCTCGTCTTCCACCAAACGTTCGAGGGGCTCGGTCTGGGCTCGCGCCTCGCCACAGTGCCGTGGCCGCACGCCAAGCGATGGACGCCGTATTTCCTGGGCCTCGGGTTCGGCGTGTCCACCCCAATCGCCATCGCCATCGGTCTGGGCGTGCGCAACAGCTACGCCGACAGCGGCGCCACGACGTTGATCGTCAGCGGCGTGTTCGATGCGATCTCGGCGGGGATTCTGATTTACACGGCGCTGGTGGAGCTCCTGGCGCACGAGTTCATGTTCAGCACGTCGATGCGCAAGGCCCCGATCCACGTGGTGCTGTCCGCTTTCGGACTGTTATGTTTGGGTGCGCTGCTGATGGCGTTGCTCGGGAAATGGGCCTGATTTTTGGGGGGCTTGTTTATATGTATATAGAAAGATACCTGTTAAAGGTTATCCGCGCATACTTTAGATACTTGCGCCTTTTAGAAATAAAGCTGGACTTTAGCATTTCGATGTTATGTACTGTGCAGTAACGAGTAAGCCACATCAACATCCACATCCACATCCACCCATCTCATACACCCCCTTTCCCAACCCCTCTCTCCAACAAAAACCAAACTTAACAACAATTACAACTCATCCTTCGCCACCCCATCAATCCCCACCAACTCCGTCTCGAAGATCAACGTCGCCCCGCCGGGGATCGGGCCCACGCCACGACTCCCATACCCGTACTCGGGCGGAATCGTCAACGTCCGCTTCTCGCCGATGCACATGTCCAGCAGGCCTTGGTCCCAGCTACACGTAAAAGATAGTTAGCTTTTACTGCCGCCCAATGCGATGCAATGCAATCCGTCCAGCCCACCCAGCCCAGCCCAATCCAAACAATGTAACGAAAGCCCCCCAAATCCAACTCAACCTGCCCAAAAGAGAGGGGAAAAGGTCAAAAACTCACCCCTTAATAACCCGCCCCGCACCCAACTTGAACACCAACGGCTGGCCGCGCTTGTAGCTGGCGTCGAACTCGGAGCCGTCCGCCGCCAGTGTGCCGCGGTAGTGCATGTGCACCGTGTCGCCGCTTTGGGTCTTGCGGCTGCATTCGACGGGGTGGGTGACTTCGATGCCGAGGGAGGAGGAGGAGGCGGCGGCCAAGGTGGCCGTTAGGGCGGTGAGGGCTAGGGAGAGGAGGCGCATTGTTTCGGTTCTGTTTGTTGAACTGTAGGTGGGTTGGTTGAGGGATTTGGAGGTGAGGGTGGTGAGATGGTGAGGTGGTGAGGGTTATTACGTTTTATGTTTTCTGGGGGTGGAGGTGGCTGCTAGCTTGGTAGGTGCCAGGTGGAGGTGCGGTGCGGTGCCAATGAAGAGTCCGCGGTGGACGGTGGCGGGCGGTGTTCCGCATCCGGGAGGGGCTAGGGTACTTTTCTAAGGTAATGCCGAGCGCCTACCGCTACAGGCCCGGTGGGTGGTTCTTTGTCTTGCGGGAGGACAGGAAGGTAAGTACACGTGTTTTGGTTTGCAGCTTTCGAGGTGCATTCGTTTGGGTGTGGTATTTGGGCTTTGCTTTCTCTCTGGGAAGGGTCTGCGCTCTGGGTTGGTTGGTCATTCTTAATTAGAGTACAGTGTATTGGACAATGGAGATCATGTCATCAGTAGTGTCGCGCGAGGTGGATGGCATAGCCAGTTGATATATTCTATGAAGGAGCTATACAACTGATCTGTACGTATATCCAAGTATATCACATCACAAATCTAGGGTATCATCGGCTAAACACAACATCAGTCAACACCCCCCCCCCCCCCCCCCCCCCCCCCCCCGCCCCCCCACCCCACCAACCCCCCCCCCCCCCCCCCCCCCCCCCCCCCCCCCCCCAAGTCAACCAACTCAATCCATCGCATCCAACTCATTCCCCCCTCCAGAACTCTCTGCCTCCGTCTCCGCCACCAAAATTCCGACCAAACACTCCCCAAGAATCGCATCCCAATTCACCCACGGATGAATCTCCATGAACAGCTGCCCGGAATCCTTGCCCACCCCGCGCAGCAGCTCCCCTTTCCCGCCCGGGTGGAATGGCAGATACGGCGTGATGTTGTACACCTTCCCCTGGTAGGACGTCCACGCGTCGGCCCCCTTGCGCCCGTTCTGCGCCTTGAGCATCGACGGCGTCACCCGGATCAGCGTGGGCGGCAGGTTCTTGCCCCGGAGGTTGTTGTTCGGGTTGGACGTCAACGCGGCCCAATCCAGCGGCGAGTACCCCGGTTGGAGGATGTGTTTGTTCTTGTTCGACGCGGAGGACGAGAGGGGCTTCGCGATCAGCTTCGTCGGTGCGAGGGAGGAAGGGGAGGAGCGGCTCGGCGGCGCGCGGAGGGAGGAGGCGGCGGATGGGGGTGGGCGGAGGGATCCTGCTGGCCCGGCGGCGGGGTTTGTTGGGCGCGGAGGGTAGCGTCCTGAGGTCAGGGAGGATGATAGTGATTGCTGTGGCTGCTGCTGGGCTGCGGTTGGGCGGAGTCGGGGAAGGGGTGGCGGAGGCATGGACGTGGTTTTGGAGGAAGTAGTTGGAGCTGTCGCGGAAGGTTGGGGGGAGGGGGGAAGGAGTTGCGGAACCGGTAGCGGTGGCGGAAGCATGAGACTTCCATTGCTCGGTTTGGGTTGGGAGGATGTTGCTGCTGTTGCTGTCGATGGAGGGGATAAGGGGTCTATTGGTCCATTGTGGCGGGACTGATGGTCGTTTTGCGCGACAGGTCTGGTCTCGTTGTCCAGGTGTAAGGATGGTATCTCAATAGAGGGCACGTTCGTCGCAGAAGCCTTGGGAGTGCTTTGGGTATCCTCTACGAGGACATCAGGCTCGAGAGACTCTACAGCGTCCCTGGTGCTCCCAGTAGTGGGCGGTTTCGCGGATGTCTTCTCGGACGGAGGCTGAGGCCGAGGCTGAGGCTGAGGCGCCCAGGTAGCGGGCGGATGTCGGTAAATAAGATAACATGCAGCTGCAATCAGCGTTGCGACTCCAAACCAGCCCATGCTAGGCAGTGGTATGATCTGGTGAGTCGTGGCAAGGGAAGGAAAGGGGCAAGCAGAGAGGAACAATTATGCGGAGGGGAAAGCTGAAAATGACGCCGAAGCGCCGTCTATCGGCACGTGGTCCCTGCGTCGGCCCCTGATCGCCGCCTCAGGAATCCTCTCGCCTCCGCCGCGGCCAACACTATGGACTACATTATTAATCACAATGCCGCCCAACTACCTTCGCCTCGGAAAAAGAATACAAAGGAGAAAGATAGAAGAAGCGAAGTACTACATATCACACTAGAATCCTGCCATGTATTATTCATATTGGGCCTGGAAGTCACAAGCCGTGCCGGATATTGCTACTTCATGGTGTATTGTTGATTGTTCGTACGTGCTACTCAAAGAAGTGAAACACGTAATGTGGAAAGAAGTCGAGCGGCAAAAGGCTTTGTCCAGCAACCTATGTTATCGACACTGAGTCTCGGCATTGGGTCAAAAACAAAGGTGACTACATCACGACAAACCGCATTGAAGAGACAAAGCAATGCCTCAGAACTCCTTGCAACGGTCGAGGTGAACCAGGGTACCACCCGAGAACCAGACTACAACTGTAGGATATCACCAATCAGGAATAGATACGATAACATTGGTATGTACACTCGAAACAGAAAATAGGAGTTGGATGGTGTTCACAGTAGTCCGCAAATCACACATGTTAAGGAGTTTCCAACCCAGCACAAGGGAAACCATAAGGGGAATCTGAGAAAGAAGGAAAACGACAAAATCACACGAAGACGATCTAGGCGAAGTCAAGCTCGACGTCCAAGCGGACAGCCTCCTCGTTGGAGTTACCACCAATGCCGTCAGCATCGGCGAGGTTGGAAGTGTAGGCGTTGATGACCGAGGCGAGAGCGTTGCCGATGGTGGAGCACTTGGAACCGGTGTGGTCGCAGATCTTCATACCCTGGACCTCCTGGCCAGCGTTCTGGGCCTGGATGGCGGACACGTCCCAGCCGGACCAGCCGTCGTTGCTAGTGTTGCCGAAGTCGAATTCACCCCAGGTGCAAGAGTAACCGCCGTACTCGTCGGTGGGAAGAGAGTCACCCTTGGCAGCACCCCAGCCACCCTGGGAGTCGGAGTCGAAGGCGACGTAGCGGGTCTCACCGGCCTTGATCTTGAACTCCAGAGCCGAGTTGCCGTACCAGCCATTCAGACCACCGTTGGGACCGATCTTGTTCCAGAACTTGACGGTCCAGTCGTCGGACGAGCTACCCTGGAAGCGGACGACGTACTGGTAGAGACAGGCCTTGTCCTCGCTGACTTCGATGATGTTGCTGCCCCAGGGGCTGCCGACGTTACCGGAGTAGTAAATGGCATCGGTGGTGCGCTTGGCGTTGGACTTGGCTCCGAAGCCAGAGCGGGAGTAGCTCGACGAGGTCGCAGACCAGGACTTGCAGGTGCCGTCGGCAGAAGAGACAACCGAGGCGGAGCTCGAAGTAGCGGCAGCAGCGCTGGCGGCAACGGTAGCAGAGGCAGCGACGTTAGCGCTCACCTCGATGGTAGCAGCAGCCGCGACAGTAGCAGCAGCCTTGTTGGACTCAACAGTAGTCGTGGCAGAGCCAGACCAGTCGTTGACCCAGGACTCGAGGACACCGTCGATGACAGCGTAGACCTCGTCACCGACGTTGCGCTTCTCGTGGTGGTGGTGGCGGCGCTCATGGCCGTGCATGCGAGCGACAGAAGAACCAGCCGTCAAGGCGGTCAACAGAAGCATGGAGTTCTTGAGCTGCATTGTGAAGAATGATGATGGTTGTAGTCTTGATGAGAGTTTTTGCTTTTGCTTTTGCTATGAAAGAGGTGCGAGACGAGGGTATCACGGATGTTTAAGTTGGAACCACAATCGAGACCAGGGTAGACGCAGTTGAAAGAGTGATTGATAGGCAGTTCAAGTGGATAAGGAGTGACAAGAGCAACACAATAATGAGAGCCCTCGACCTGAAACAAGCAATCGACAAAGGAGTGTGGGTTGCGAGCACCTGGAAGAATGATGGATTGAGAGAAAGAAGAAAGGGAGAAGAAGGAAGAAAAAAGAGGGATGAGGGATGAGGGGGGGGAGAGGAAGAATTAAATTTGAAAATGAAAATGAGCGAGCATCGAGCCAGACTCTCACCGTCCAGTTGGGGATGGGGGTGAGTTTGTGAGTTTGTTGGTCAAGATCACGGATTGAAGGCACACCAAGACCCGTAGAGACCGACAATTAAATGAAAAGGGGGGCGGTTCCTGAACTAAGGCCAACACTGCACAGTCATTGGTGGTCAGCCCCACTCAGACCGCGGTTCGAGGCTCGGATTTCCCTGGATTGGTTCTGTCGATCCGCTCGTATCATACCGTTTGATTACCGTGCCTGGTACCTTACATGCATCCGATGGGTGAGACGAGTGAAGATGGAATTGTACCTACAGTAGAGTGAGTAGCTTGTTGGAGCAGACCACAACAGCAACAGCAACAATGCAAGGCCTCGTCGTCTCCATCTCACACCAGTGATATCATGATATCTCCACGATCTCTCTCGATCCTTCCGACACGTCATAATCAATGTATCTCCCAACAGACAAGTCACTATCACACTGCTGTCGCAGACATTCGTGATTGATTAGATCTCGCGGACGGCTTCTGTCCACCACCAGGAATGCTGCTGCCCGATCTGAGGAATTCAGCCCATTCAAGCCATCGCGCACTGCTTATCGATACGTGCCTGCTGAAGAGTCACAATCTGCAGGCGCACTGCCTGCAACTTCGTCATCCCCTGCGAGACCCAGCTTCCCCCTCACCTCTCCTTCTACACTCTATTCGCAGCCAGGACAACCACCACTGTAATTTCAATGGACCACGTCAGGACCCACGAGGTTCGCCGTTGTGAATCATCGGGCAACCAACCGATGATGTCAATAGCAACGATGTGATGGATATATCGCGGGGGAGACCGATAGAGACACTGTCTAAGCCGGACTTGTGGTTGCCCATGATACAGGATGAATAGGGTGAGTGGCGTATCAATTGGACACGTACACTGCCCATACGGACTGAACAATCTCATTGCCATCTATTCTGGCCCATTCAATATCCGACTACTCCGTACTCCGTACCCTCCCCAAGCAAGTCGAGAGTCGGTGCGCTGCGGTCGTGTTGCCCCGTCGTGTTGCGGAGATGCCTACAGTCTGGACTGCCTTTGTTACGGAATGGTCGGTATTGTGACTGCCTACACGCTGAACACGAATACCCTCAGGGCCCTTCAGGGACTCCAGGGTCTGTTGCCCCTCCGTCCCTGGATGCCATCACGCAAGCCAGCCGGCGCCATAAGGACCCTGAATAGCCCCCAAATCGAGAAACACCTGAAACGAATTCCGCGGTCGGATGGCGGCTGCAGGAACAACCTCACGGCGAGCAGCGACTACAACAACATAGGCTGAGTGTTATTTCACTGTGTCTTACCCGTACGAAACAGGCCATTGGAATTGAATTGACTTGGTCGCGCCCACTGACCATAACCAAGCCCACAGTAATGTCAATCGCCACCCACCAAAGGTTGGCCCGTGAGAGAAAAGAGACACCAATTTCAATGGTCGAAAACTCAGTTTATCCACCATCCTGTGTGACCGACGTTGGTCTGGATCACTTAATTCTCGAGCCCGTGCTTGCCGAGAGTCTACTGCAGAGTACTGAGGCCAGTAAATAAACAACGTTCCCTTGGGTGGTTGCGGACTGGATGAGACGGAACCAGAGTTACTCAACTATGGAACCACTCTCGGAACCGCGAGCCTTTTTTCGGTCACTTGAGAATGACAGGATTGGGAAATCTGCCAAGTTACCTCCCCCCTAAGTCTAACACTAGACCATATCATGAATAGCATGCTGCCGAACACTCCTTTTTTTTTCTGGAGTTGGGAGCCTCCAAATTTAGAGTGTTGCCTGCCTGGTTTGAGATGATGCTATTCCTGTCAAGGAGAGCGACTCGTCAGCTCTTGTGCGATCTTCCCCCTCCATCCCGTGTCAGGTGACTTGGTGCCCGGAAAGAGACTCCAAGCACTGCCGGCGGGTTGCCGGACGAACTCCAAGGTTGTTTGGCTTAGTTACAGTGAGTCTAATTGACTAAGGTAGTGTTTTGGCCTTCCCAATCAAGGCTCAGCATTTCACCGCAACAGTCATTTCGTTCCATAAATTTATACAATATTTACATTGACGTTGTTAACAGATCTCTAGAATACAGTAATCATGACAGACATAGCTTGAAGGCGACGATCTACTTCTGCAGCTCAACCCCTCCGTCGAAGGCAGCGCCGCCCGCCTCGGCGTCCACCTTCATACTCTCGTCGAGCCCGCAAACACGGAACAGCATCTGTGGGGTCATGTCCTTGCTCAATCCTGGGATGCCATCCCTCTTGAGCTTTTCCATCGCCTCCTGCATGGCCTTATAAGCTGGACCAATGGCTGCGAAAGGGAAGATAATAATCCGGAATCCCATCTCCTTGGCTTCCTGCGCCGTGATGTCCGGTGTCGCTCCATGCTCAACCATGTTCAAAAGCAGTGGCCACCCCGCCAGGTCCTGCACCACCTGTCGAGCCATTTCCTTAGATGTGATGCCCTCGAGGAACCCTACATCTGCCCCAGCGTCGCGCGCCGCCCGCAGTCGTGCCACACTTTCCTCGTAGCCGCGCACCTGCAGGGCATCCGTTCGCGCGATCACCACGATGTCGCTACCGATCCGCTGACGAGCCTGCACGGCGGCGCGAATTCGCGTCACATAGGTGTCTTGATCCACGAGAATCTTGCCTCCGAGATGGCCGCAGCGTTTCGTCTGAACCTGGTCCTCGATGTGAAAGGCGGCAACTCCAGAGCGCGAGTATTGTTCGGTCGTGCGAGCAACCATGATCGGGCCGCCATATCCGGTGTCTGCATCGGCAATGACGGGCGTGGTGGGGGAAAGATTGGAGATCATTTCCGCATTGGCGCGCATGTCGTTGAGGGTGCAAATACCCAGATCCGCATGGCCGTGGACGGAGGCAGCCGTACCGGCACCCGTCTATGAGAGCTTGTTAGCAGATTTTATTGTGGCTGGGCTTGCGTTGCCACTCACCATGTAGAGGGCATTGAAGCCTGCCCCGAGAGCAATGCGAGCGGAGAAACCGTCATACACTCCGGGAGCGACGACGAATGCCTCAGGGTCCGCGAGAGCCTGCCGCAGGCTTGTAGCTGCTGTTGCCATAGGCATGATGATGTTGGTGGCTGTATACACGAATAGGTAGAGCAGTGTTTCAGGGAGAAAAAAAAGTCAATGACGTCGCCACTCAGACTCGGGTCTTGAGGGCGAGAGAGCTGGCTTTATAGGGCGTTAATCCATTGCCCGAATCCCAGAATCGCCTCGCCCATCACTCGTCTCGAGCCCCGACCGTTCTTTCGGACCCATAATTCTTCAAGGCAGAAGTAGGCTTCTAGAAAAATGTCATGGCTGCTCAACCGACATCGGCGGACGTTAGGTAATCCTTCGGCATAGTTTCGGATTTGAGAAACACAATGCCACGGGCGCTCTCGGCAGAGGCGATCGAACCGAGCATTGGCACATAAGACTACGAATGGATGATGAGTGAAGTCTCGCAAGCTGCTTGCCGATGCTTGCCGATGCTTACCGATGCGTCGGTTTCGGCTCGGACAGGAAAGTTGAAGGCTTTCAATCAAGCAGCATTAATATTGGGAGTCGGGACTGTCCAGTTGGCAGGTGATTGCGGGCTTTTTCTGCCGCGATTCAACCCCAACTCCGCTCCGCTCCACTTCTCTCTCTTTCCCTCTTCTTCTCTGCATGCAATTGATTCGCCTCTGCTTTCCCTTGGGCGCAAGAATGATCTGAAACCAATCCATCGGTCTCTTTGAATCGATCCACCTCCACCTCTCATCTCTATTTCTCTGATACTTCCTCGACAACCATCTCCATGTCCCGCTCCGCCATTGTGCAGGAATACGCCCCTCCGACCTCCGCTCCCACGCTCTCCGTTGATCGCAAAGTCACCCACGAACGCCAACAAAATGGCGTCGCCCGCCCTCAAGGCTACCGCGTCTCGTGGCATGCAAATCCCGCGGTCGAACTGCATCATTTCGGACAATCGCATCCGATGAAACCCTGGCGGCTCACGCTCACGAAACAGCTGGTGATGGCCTATGGCATGCACCATGCGATGGACCTATACCTGGCGCGCCGGGCCACATACGAGGAGATGGAGGAGTTCCACACGTCCGACTATCTCGACTTTCTCCGCCAAGTGAACCCGGGAGATATGGAGAACTCGGAACAGAGCGAGAACATTGCGCGCTTCAACTTTGGGGACGACTGCCCGATCTTTGACGGCCTATACAACTACTGCTCGCTCTACGCTGGCGGCACTATCGACGCAGCCCGCAAACTGTGCAACAACCAGTCGGAGATCGCGATCAACTGGTCGGGTGGCCTCCATCACGCCAAAAAGTCCGAAGCCAGCGGCTTCTGCTACGTGAACGACATCGTCCTGGGGATCCTGCAGCTCCTCCGCCTCCACCCGCGCGTCATGTACATCGACATCGACGTGCACCACGGCGACGGCGTCGAGCAGGCCTTCTGGTCCACGGACCGGGTGCTGACCGTCTCCTTCCACAAATACGACAAGGACAACTTCTTCCCCGGCACGGGCGCGCTTGACAGCAACGGGCCGACGCACCCGCTGAACCCGGGCGCCCACCACTCGGTCAACGTGCCCCTCCACGACGGGATCGACGACGAGTCGTACATCCAGCTCTTCCGCGACGTGATCGGCTCGTGCGTGGACGTCTACCGGCCCGGCGCCATCGTGCTGCAGTGCGGCGCCGACTCGCTGGGCTGCGACCGGCTGGGCTGCTTCAACCTCAACGTCTCGGCGCACGGCGCGTGCGTCGCCTTCGTCAAGACCTTCAACCTGCCGCTGCTGGTCGTCGGCGGCGGCGGCTACACGCCGCGCAACGTCTCCCGCGCCTGGGCCCACGAGACCTCGATCCTGCTCGACGCCCAGGACGTCATCGACCCCAACATCCCCGAGACCGTCACCTTCCGCAACCACTTCGGCCCGGACTTCTCCCTGTTCCCCCCGCTCTCCGAGATGCGCAAGCTCGAGAACAAGAACCCCCGCCCCTACCTGGCCGGCCTGCTGCAGTCCATCCGCGAGCAGCTCCGCTACATCGAGGGCGCCCCCAGCGTGCAGATGAGCTTCATCCCCCCGGACATCCTGGGTCTGCGCGAGGACACGGAGAAGGAGATCGAGGAGGAAACGGCGATGATGGAGGAGGAGCGCGAGGACCGCGCCGGCGGAGGCAGCCTGGGCAAGGCCAGTCGGCGGAGGGAGCTAGAACGCGCCGCCGGCCAACGGGGGGAGCTATATCAGTAGTACCTTCTAGGTGCGACCTTCCTCTAAGTCAGTGGGCTTTGTTCTTCCGTGCTAGGGTTGTTAGCTGCATTGATTTTCATTTGTTTTCCGGTGTTAACGGTTGGGGTTTCGCTTCATGGGATGAGTGATAGCGGCGTCTCTGGGGTTTCATTGATGGGAGGCGGGCAGTGCAATATACAGCATGTGCAGTTTTTTTGCAGATACAGATAGGTTGTGATATCCTGTTATTGTTGTTGTCGTTGGGTCTTGTATGATAACTAGTTGGCGTTTGGAGACATGACATGAAAGTCAATTTAGAGCATTTATTTGGTCCATGGGGAAAGAAAGGTTCCTACTTAGAGTATGTTGTCATTCTGAAGGCCATGGTTGTTGTGGTCAGACTAAGTCGTAGCTGGGCTAGAGGGAAGTGATTGTACCGTACTGTACGGAGTACTTGGCTATGAAATGCCGACCAAGCGCTGCATGTACCGGGCCCCTGCTGTAGCCACAAAGACAAGCACTCCCCGACTTTGCGATCCCACTAGTCGCAAGAACTACAAAACTACAGTAAAGTCAAGCCATGAGTCACGGCAGGAAAGGCTCAATGGATAGGTATTATGATATGATATCACGAAGCCAAGCAACGAAGCTCTATCACCCCCTGCTCTTCGTCTCCGAAAACTCCTACAACCACGCCAGAGTCCACAAGGCCGGCAAATGCGGCCACTTCTCCTGCCACGCGGCCAGGATCTCCGGCACGCGCTCATCGAAATTCCTCCTCGCCTCGCCCTGCCCATTCTCCCAGTCCGCCTCCGCCGCGGCCGCGGCCTCTGCCCCAGCCCCAGCCCCAGCCTCCGCGACGGCAGCAGCCCGCCGCTCCAGCCTAGCCGCCTCATTCAAGCGGTTGGCCAGCTCCAGAATCGCCTTGCCGCCGACCAGCGCCTCCTCATGGTTATCCTTGATGTCGACGTTGAACACATGCACGGGCCGGTTGAGCGGGCTGCCCTTGGCCATGAGGTCGTCGACGACGGCGTCCCAGCAGCGCTCCTCGCAGGTGATGATGACGTCGACGACGCCGCCCTCGGTGCCCCGCGCGCCCTTGTCCCCCTTGGCGACGTGGTCCACGCGCGGCAGCCCCGGCACCCAGTCCTGGAACCGCTCCGGCCCCCATTTCAGGTTGCGGTTCCGGTCCAGCATGTTGAGGAGGCCGTTGTACCGGTACAGCCGCTCGTCCTTGGCCATCAGCTCCTCGTACATCTGGCTGTAGCTCGTCGTGTTGAAGTGGTAGATGTTCGGCTGCGTGACCGTCGGGCCGGGCAGGCGGACGAGCGAGCCCGTGCCGAAGGAGATCACGGGGAAGGGCGACGGGGTCGCGGTGGAGAGCCGCAGGTGCGCTTCCATTGAGCGGTTCTGGTTCGAGGCGCAGACGGTGCAGAAGCGGAGTTTGTAGCTGTCTGTCTCGCTGGAGGAGGAGGAGAAGGAGGAGGTGGTGGTGGTGGTGCTGGGGGTTTCGGGCGCGGCGGCATTGTCGGTTGTGGTGGTTGTGTTGTTGGAGGCTGAGCGCGTGGTGACGCGCATTGGTTCTTGGTGGATTGGTTCTTGTTGTTCTTGGGGTTGTGGCTGTGGTTGTGCTTGGTGCTCATGGGGCGGTGGGGGTGGGGGTGGTGCGGAGGTTGTTGTAGTGGTGGTGGACGCAGTGCCTGCACTGGTGCTTGTTGAGGATACTAGTCGCGGGTCGTAGGCCATGATGGGCAGGGTAGGTAGGTAGTGGATAAGAAGGTAGGTAGTGAATAAGAGTAGGAAGATAAAGGTAGGTAGGAAGATGCAGTGTATCTTATGAGGCTAGCCTATCTGGTGAAGTGGGTCCACGTGGGTTTTTTCTGTTTTTACGCGTTGAGTTTCTTCAGGGGATCTGCTGTTGTTGTGGTCTGGTCGTTGCTTTGTTCTCTGTCGGTCCAAATCAAGGAGGTTGAAAGATGTTTTCACTAGGGCCCTGTAATGTCTACTCACAGTCAGAATAATCCATCCGACAAGTTGTGATAATGACAAGTAGAAAAGTAACAAGCAGAATCAGGTAAAAAATGCGTATAAAAGATTTGTCCGCATAATTGGCTCGGACAGCTCCAATAAAGATAAACTCATCATGCTGCTGCAGAAAGAGGTGCAATGGAAGGGAGAAAAACACAACTGCGACAGCTTGAATACATACCTCAAGGTGGCCTCTCATTATTTGTGGCTCATTTACGCAGAAAATCTACAGTTGCAGTTGCTGAAAAATAGTCCCGGGCCGCAGCCCTGAAGAATTGCGAATGGAAGGAAGTTTGCGTCCAGCGGGAAGCTTGCGACGAGGCCGTTTTTGTGCTCATCCAGGCTGACTCAGCACGCCCGGTGCTGCTAGCCCGCTTTGGGACAGCTTCCCCGTCGCGGCGGTTGTTGATCATTTCATTCAGATACTCATTGTCTCCGTACTCGTACTACAATAACTACAAGCAATGATGCTATACTATCTGTCGCCTTCATGCTCGTGAAACTCCCATGCAGTCGGCTTTTTGCCTCTTTTGAAACAGGTGTATAGAATATCGCCCACAGCAAGGGATACAAAAAGACCCAGTCAGAAGACGGACGACTGATCCCAGAACCCTTCGCTGGTCATCTGGCCCGGTGCTTTTCACGTCATGCTGCACCATCCCGAAGGAGCCTCTGGGGAGATGATCACGGGAAGGTGAGGGGAACGATGAGGCCATGCTGCCTCGGGGTTGACGAGTGTGGCTCAGGTTTGAGATACCCTCATGGCTAAGCAGCGATCGACCCCAGGCCCTCCGGACCAAGGCTATAAAACGGTCGACTATAGACGTCAATGGAACACAAGTCCAAGACTCCTCCTGCAATGAGGTCGAAACTTGAAACATCTTTGGGCTGTCATTCCCAGTCACCCCCACCCCGCCAAGCCGGTCGCCCCTCTTGTTTACCAGGTGCAGCAAGCAAGCAGCCAAAGCCAAAGCAGCAGCAGCAGCAACAGCAATCCCGGAGGGGTGCAGAAAATCCCAAGCCTTCGAATGGCCACGAGATCTAGAGAAAAATTCGTTATCCCATTTCCCCTCCAGACCCGGGATATCAACACGACCGCATTAGTAGGACCTCGTTCATCTGGAGGCGAAAAAAGACCTCCAAAGAGTATAAATTGTAGCCTTGAGACAAGGCAAGGCAGACGATCAACGTCATCCGATACACATACACCGAAAGATCGCCCCTCTTCCCTCATGAAGACGGATTTCATATAAATACAGTAGACTCTTCACCGGTGTCTCTCTGGTTCACCAGAATTTCTCAGACGAACGTCTTGAGACCGCCTCTTCTGACCTGATCGTGGCTTGTGGCGCAGAGCACCCAGCACCCTAGCCGAGCGGCTGTCACCATTGATTTGATTGAAATTAATTTCACCTTTTTGCTCGAACTAGATACGAAAAGGGACGAGACATACGAAAACGAGAAGGGAAGAAAAAGGGTCTAACGGACCACAATCAGTGGCAGTTCTTCACTGCCTGAGCCTGCAGCAGGAGAATCTGCTGTTCTGAATATTTATTATTTTTTTCTCCCCTTTCCCCTTCTATCTCTATTCTTTCACTCTTGGCTTGTCATCCTCAATTATAGCTTCGCTGTTGGACAAGGAAGAGAGGTCAACTTGCAAATTCACAGCCTTCTCCAAAACCCACGGATAGTCATGACCATAACCATTCCCCATATCCGACGTCGTTCGTCGGTGGCTAGTCCTACCAGTGAGTATCAGTAGTCGTGGTTGAATGTGATTGTTGCTGCCGTGGCTTTGACCCGGAGGTTGAGATCCCCTCCTTCTCTCTACCTCCTCCCCACGTCATATTTTCTCCTCCTCCCCTCCTACTCTCACACTCTTTCCCTTCTCCTCCTTTACTCTCTCCTGCTTTCCTCTCAGCCCCAACACCACTTCTTCCCCTATTGATCTGCTTCTACGCACTCTCCAATATGTCGGCTGACTGGGGCTCTTTCTTCCATTCAGGTAGCAGGTCTTCCCATGAGGAGCCGAAGCCTGAGAATGTGAGCGGGGACGATGAGATTGTCGAGCCCGATCAGGGCAACGGTACGTATGAATCAGCCCCTCTCCCCACCTCTGAAAAGAAGTTGTAGGCATGCAAAGGTGGAATCCATAGGCCTAGAATTTGGTTTACATCTATAATCTCTCGCGACAGTTATGGCTTTGCTGTTGCTGACCGGCCCTGTTAGTCCTCTCCCACATTATCTCGCAGCTCCGACCGGGAGCAGATCTTAGTCGGGTCGTCCTGCCTACCTTCATCCTCGAACCCCGATCCATGCTGGAGCGCATTACAAAGTAGGTGGAGACAATATCTGTGACGAAATTGCGGTCGCTGACTCCATTGATCCTCCGATCAGTTTCATGGCACACCCCGAGACCCTGCTGCCTATGCCCGATATCGATGACCCCCTCGAACGTTTCGTCTCCGTGGTCAAGTTCTACTTGAGCGGATGGCACATCAAACCACCGTATGTCCTCCCACTCTTCGTCCCATTTGTTTCCAACGCTTCCGGACCCCGTTGACCCCCTTCCGCAGCGGTGTGAAGAAGCCGCTGAATCCGATCCTGGGCGAGACCTACACCTGCTATTGGGACTACCCCGACGGAACCCGCGGATACTATATCTCTGAACAGACCTCGCACCACCCGCCCAAGTCGAGCTACTTCTTCATGGCCCCCGAACACAACATCCGCATTGACGGCACCCTGAAGCCGCGCAGCAAGTTCCTCGGTAACTCGGCCGCCAGCATGATGGAGGGCATTGCGATCCTGCGCTTTTTGAACCGCGGCCAAGATAAGGAGAAGGGCGAACGATAGTAGGTGGTCCTCGAAAGCTCGGGAGTGGCTGGAGCTTTTCTGACATGTTCCCAGCATCCTGACGCAACCCAACATGTACGCTCGCGGTATCCTGTTCGGAAAAATGAAGTATGAGCTTGGTGACCACAGCTACGTGCGCTGCCCTGAGAACAACCTTGTCGCCGACATCGAGTTCAAGACCAAGGGCTACTTCTCAGGCACCTACAACGCCATCGGTGGAACGATCAAGAACGAGAAGACTGGTGAGGTCTACTACGAGCTGACCGGACTCTGGAACGGTGAAATGTACATCAAGGACGTGCATGTAAGTTGAGACCAGCCCCTTTCCCACCTTGAGCTGTCATTGTAACCGAAACAGACCCATAAGAAGGAGCTTCTCTTTGATGCAACCCACGCCAAGCACACTCCCCCCTTGACCCGGCCTCTTGAGCAGCAAGGCGAGCGCGAGTCCCAGCGGTTATGGCACAGCACTGTCAAGGCCATTATCGCCCGGAACCACGAGGCGGCCACGGATGAGAAGACCAAGATCGAGGACCGTCAACGGGAGGAGGCGGCCAAGCGGGTCGACGAAGGTGTCGAATGGCACCCCCGACTCTTCCGCCGGGTGCAGGGTGGGCCCAACGGCCCGGACGAGGGCGAGGAAGACTTGGACTGGATCATCAATGCGCATGTGTAAGTTGCCGGGCTTTGCGCACGTCGATCGTGGTTGGAATCGAGACTAATAATGGAGTAGTGACGCGCATAACCCTGAGCTTGCGGCCAAGCAGATTCTCGCTATCGCACCCATCCTGGACGGCCAGACGGACTCTTCCGAATATCAGATTCCCCCGCACAAGTCGCATGAACCCGTCCCCACTGACGATGTGGCTAACGGGGCGGCGCCAGTTCCGGACCAGCCCAAGCCCGAAGTCGTGGAAGCAGTTGAGCGCAAGGATTCGCGCACCAACGATATCGACGCTTACGTGGATGCGAAGGAGAATTGAGCGATCGACTTCGTCGTTAAGTCCCTTAAGAACTTCCCACCCGCAACTCGAGCAAGGGATGGTCGCACAGCGACTGGACATAGGAAGGGAACGGGTAGGGCAAGTCGGGTGTTGTGGACATACCTTCCCAAAAAAAAGGACCTGCACAACAGCCTATAGTTATGGTTCAACACCGGCTTGCAGGACGAGCTCACTACCGTTTCGGCGTCATACTATACTGGATACCCGATTGATTTCATAGTACGGAACATGCGTTTTCAAAGAAAAAGTTTCAACAAGAGAAGGGGAAAGGGAAAAGGGAACAGAACATAGGTCAGCCACTCTTATGTGGATACATGTCCATGTTTCGTACACATTGGGAGGAAGGCTGATGGGGTGGGGGAGGGGTGAGCAGCGACCATTTTTCCTTATTATTGTTATTTTCTTCAGCCTTCACCATAGACTTCAGCCCACTGAATGATAATATAATATTTCAATTTGCAAAACCGTAATTCATGTAGTATGTGTCTGCCTGAAAGAAAGGGGTATCGTTTGCTTGGTTGTTGCTTGTAGATATTGCATATCCTGACCGACAATGCATTCCAACCCGATAGATAAATCGAAGCCTGGAAAGACTTGTCCCCAATTACCTACCAATACCAAACCAAGGGGTAATTTAAAAATGGACAGAAGAAAACCCCCACCCAGATGCCAGCTAGTGTAAGAATCCCAAACCTGTTCAACCTCCTCTCCCATCTCCTTCACCACCACCACCACCCTCGGCCTTCACCTCGGCCTTCACCTCAGTAAAATTCTCCTCCCTCCGCTCAGCATACCACCGCTCTAAGCACGCCCGCCGCTCCGCCTGCGTCATGCCCTCCACCACCAAAGCGAACTCGGTCGCATTCGCGAACCCGAACCGCCGCGCCATACTACAGAACTGGCGCTTCATGACCCCCCGCGGCGGGTGGAATTTATACTTGACGTAAGGCTGCTGTTGACCGGATGGCTGCGAAGACAGTAGGAGCTGCGATTGCGATTGCGATTGGGACTGGGATTGCGAGTTGCGAGATGCGGCAGCGAAGACCCGCTTGTCGAGGGCGCGGTGGTCGTCGGCGGTGAGCTGGGCGCGGCGGCTGAGGCGTTCCTCGACCTTGGAGGAGCCGATGACTTCGTTGTTGAGGTGGGTGTATTCGACGCCGGCGTTGGCAAGGATGGCTTGGATTGGGTCGTGGCGGGGCGGGGTGTTTTGGGCTGGGTGGGCGGGGCGGGTTGATGACGGGGCGGTCTCGCCGCGGATCATGGCGGCGAGGTTGTTCATGACGGCGTCGGTGGTGGTGTCTTCGTGGGCGGGCTGGGGTGTGTTATTGAGCGGATGGTCCGGGTCATCCTCCTCCTTCGCCATCGCGGTCAGGTCAATGTCCATGACTTGGACGCCGGCGCGGCTTTCGGCGACGTTGGTCTTGTTGACGATCTCGCGGAGGACGATGTTGTCGGTGCGGTAGGCGAAGAGGTTGTCCATCCCGAAGATCTCGCCCTTCTTGTCCTTGTTCTCCTGCACGCCTTTGAAGTAGCGGCGCTCCGAGCTGGCGTTATAGCCGATGTTGGCCTGCTGCTGCTTGTAGATCTGGCGGGCGTAGACGATCTCCTCGATGGTGCCGACGGAGATGAGGCGGAAGACCTCGACGTCGCGCGACTGGCCGATGCGGTAGGCGCGGTCCTGCGCCTGCAGGTCGTGCGAAGGGTTCCAGTTGGGGTCGACGATCACCACCTTGTTGGCCGAGGTGATGTTGAGCCCCACGCCGCCGGAGCGTGTCGAGATCAGGAAGACGAACTGCCGCGGGTCCGAGTTGAACTCGTCCACCACCTTCGTGCGGTCCTCGTAACTCATCGACCCGTCCAGGTAGCTGACGTTGTAGCTGGTGTAGTGGAAGAGCATCTGCAGCATCTTGAGGAGCCGCACGCTGTGGCTGAACACCAGCACCTTGTCGCCGTTGGCGTGCCACCATTTCAGCAGCTGCCGCAGCACCTTCCACTTGCCGCAGAACTCCGGGTTGGCGAAGTTGACGATCGAGTCCCGCGAGCGGTACAGCTTCTCCCACTGCTCCGGCACCGCCAGCTCGAGCATCTCCTTGTCCTTCTCCTGTTTCTCCGCGGGATCGCCACCCTGGGGGATGAGGATGGCGAGGTGGTTGCTGAGCTTCTGGAGCACGGCGATGGCCGGGAACACGTAGCTTTGCCATTTCGCCCCAGAGGGCAGGAGCTGGTGGCAGCACCAGCCAGATTTCCTCCCGGAGCCGCAGTCACAGGGATCGGTCGATGTCTTGATGTATGTGACGATCTCGCTCTCCAGGATGTTCTCGTAGGCCGCGGCCTGCGTCTCGGTAAGCGGGCAGAAGACGACCCGGTCGACTTTCTTGGGCAATTGGTCGGCGATCAGAGTCTTCATGCGCCGGAGGAAGAACTGCGGCAGGAGATTCTCGACAAGCTTCTTGGCCGTCGTACGGGCCTTACGGAGCTCGTACACAGTGGCATCGTGCGACTGCCCGAGCTTGAGAGGCTCAGAGATCGTCTTCTTCCAGACGGTCACCGGGCCCAGTTTGCCCGGATTGCACCAGTTCAGCAGCGTCCAAAGCTCCTCGTATTTGTTCTGGATTGCGGTGCCCGTGAGGCCGATCCGACAGAGCGCGTTGATCATATTCATCGCTTTGGTCGTTTCCGACTTGCGCTCCTTGATGATATGGCACTCGTCCGCAATGACGCAATCCCAGTCCACCATGTTGACGGCATCTTTGTTGTGCAGGTAGGTGCTGTAGGTGGTGATCAGGATCTCAATTCGTCCGGACCTTGCGGCTTGGAGCGCGAGCTCCTTGCTGTCACCGTGGTAGGTATCGACCGACCACCAGCCCCAGCGGGCCAGCTCCGAGATCCAATTCTTGATCAAGGTCCCCGGACAGACGATCAGCGTCCGCGGATACCAGCAGTCTTGTCCACTGCGGCGCATCTTTCTCATGCGCTTCGCATCTCTTTCATCCCCCGTCTTCCCGTAGGCAGCCGTAAGGAAGGCGATCACCTGCACGGTCTTCCCTAAGCCCATATCGTCCCCGAGGATTCCGCCCTTCTGGTATACGAACAATTCGTGTAGGAAGGCGGCGCCGTCTACTTGATATTGACGCAGCCACTGCGCGATTGGGGCGGGGATCAGTCCCAGGGAGTAAGGCAGCGTGATATCCTTGTAGTGATTACACGGCCTCAGATGCTCAAAGGCCGGCTTCTCCTGCAGGAATTCAAGCCGCTCGTCGTCTGAGAATTCGACCTGGTCGTAGCTGGGAGGCAACTTCAACCCCGACGCCTTGAGATGTTCCATCCGGCGGTCGAACTGCACTCGACGCCTCTGCAAGTAGTCGGGGAGGGTGTATTCCATCAACTCATCCTCGGAGGAATACTCTGCACCATACTCTCTCAGCGGCCGCCGCGGCTTGGCTTTTGCATTCGATTTCGGGAGTCGGCCAACGAAGGAGCTGGTGGTGGGAGGTTCGAGTTTCAGAGGCTTGTTGACGTTGGTTTTCCGCGCGCTCGTGGACTGCCGCTTGCGTTTGAGGGACTTCCGGTTCTTGAACTCCTCGTAGGCGGCCGCGCCCTCGTTGAATGAGGATGATGCATTGTCGCTGTCACTGTCGCCGGCGAGGTCCACGACGGCGACGGGGGTTTTAGTTTCAGGAGGCGAGGACCGCTGCTTGATCGGTGTGCGGGTGCTCGTCGAGGGACGAGGTGTTCTGTCGTCTGCGATCGAGGTTTGACCTGCATTCACAAGGTGAGAGAGACGCCAGGTTAATTATCCCGAACAAAATGCGGAGACATACGAGCGAGAGCAAGGCGGGCGGAGGGACGTGGGGTGTCAAGGTCATCGTCATCTGTGCCGATTGTAGTGGCATCCGAGTCCCCTGGCTCCCATCCTGAGCCCATGTTGAGGCCGACTGCCAGATAAATGAGTTATTACCGACATGAAAATGCAGGTTGAAAGAAGGGCGGCCTGGTAGTTGGAGAAGCCGCAGTGCGGAGACGCGAGACGGCGGAGGATGGCAGTCACTGGACGGTCATTGGGTTGGCCGGCCTCCCGATTGGGCAACGAGCTGATCACACTCGAATAATTCGGCGCCGAAAAGTCAACCTCCGCAACCTCAATCCCATCGCCAATTTCACCCTTCACTGCCCTACGCGCGCCCTTGAATATCACTCTCGAGACCTACTCTTCGAAGGAACTTCATCCTTGCACGGTTATTACGCCGATTTCCTTATCTCAACTGTGCCCCTCCGTCGCAGCCACAAAAGTCGAATTACACGTTGGTGCGGGGAGCAAAATCGGACTTTCGCAAGTCGCTCTTCCCATCTCTCTCTCCCCGCCGTCGCAACCCACACAGAAATAGACGACGCCATTGAGCATACACACACGCACACACACAACCAAAATGCCTCTCGACACGTCTACCACATACCCGCTCACCAAATTACGCCTGGATGGCCGACGCTGGAACGAGCTGCGGCTCCTTCAGGCCCAGATTTCCACCAACCCCGCCAGTTCGGGCTCGTCATACCTCGCCATGGGCAACACGGCGATCATCTGCTCGGTCCACGGGCCAGCCGAGGGCCGTCGCGGGGATGCCTCCGGCGGCTCAGCGGGCTCCTCCGGGGCGGTCGTCGAGGTGGATGTGAACGTCGCCGGGTTCGCGGGGGTGGATCGGAAACGCAGGGCGGGAGGAAGTGACAAGTAAGGAGTCCCTACGGAGGATATATTTATACAACATATCAGCGTTACTAACTCGTTTTCTTCTATCTGTGTATAGACAATCCTCGCGCATCGGGACCATCCTACGCTCCGCCTTCCAGTCGCACCTGCACACCTACCTCTACCCGCACAGCACGATCAGCATCCACGTCTCGGTGCTGTCGGCGGACGGCTCCCTGCTGGCGGCGGCCGTCAACGCCTGCACGCTGGCCCTGGTGGACGCGGGGATTCCCATGCCGGGGCTTCTGTGCGCCTGCACGGCCGGCATGAGCGGCAGCGCGTCCACGCCCCGCGACCCCAACAACGACTTCCTGGACCCCCTGCTGGACCTGTCCCTGCCGGAGGAACAGGAGCTGCCGTTCCTGACGGTGGGGACGACGACGACGGTGCCGGTCGGGGAGGCGGCGATGATCCACGATGACGAGGACGAGATGAAGGTGTCGATGTTGACGATGGACTCCAAGGTGCACTGCTCGTATGTGGAGACCATGCTGGCGGTGGGCATTGACGGGTGCAAGCAGATCCGGGAGATTCTGGAGGGGGTGATCAAGAAGTCGGCTCGCCGGTGATTTTGTGTTTGTTTTGTTTTGTATTTGGTTGTGTTGCGATGAAAAAGCATGGCAGGCGAAATATTCGTGTATATACCCCGTGAAATGAATGCCATGGGCGGTGTTAGGTGTGTTTCTTGGAGACTCCAGTACGCGTTCTTTCTGCATTGCAAATTCTTTCATTTGATGTTGTGGACGGTCGTGGTCTGAGAGGGCCCGGGGGTGGGGAGTGCATAAATCTGCTCAATTCTGCGCGCGGTGCATCTTCCCCATTGGCCGGGCCAGGGGGGGTAGCGAGTGGGCATCGTGTTGCCAAAGTCTTGGAATCTGCGCAGGATGAGCGAGTTTCTATTGCTATGGTTGATGGATCAGACAATGGGTTGGGCTCGCGGTGAGCTGCGTGGGTGGTTTGGGTCAAACTGGCTATATCAACCTTTGAACCCCCGCTGTCTCCAGGACATACGATCTGATCATCCTCTCCGTCTTGGTACCCAGACAATCCATCGTCAATATGGATATGCCCACATCCACATCTACAACTATGGACATGATAATGACCATGACCATGACCACGTCGCCGACCACCACCGCCGCCATGGGCAGTAGCACCGCATCCTCCAGCATGGACATGGACATGGACATGGGCTCCTCCAGCTGCCAGATCTCCGTAAGGACCCCCAAATCCCCTTTCTCCTCTGCCCGATATCGAACACCATCAATACTAAGAATAAGCTACCCAGATGCTCTGGAACTGGACCACCATCGACGCATGTACGCCTTCCCCAAGCCCAATCCAACCCAACCCTAACCTGAATCGGATCAACCCTAACCCACCCCTCCCCCCCAAAACACTAAGAACCAAAAACAGGCTTCCTCTCCAAAACCTGGCACATAACCACCAAAAGCATGTTCGCCGGCACCTGCCTCGGCACCATCTGCCTAGTGGTGTGCCTGGAGTTCCTGCGTCGCGTCGCGCGAGAGTACGATGCTTTCCTCGTCCGGCGGGCCCGTCTGCGGTATCAGTTTCTGGCGAATCTTGATTCCCCCGAGGGCGAGATGCACACAGCGCTGCCGTCGGCTTCGGCTTCGACTTTTCGGTGTAAGGATGCTGCTGCTGCTACCACAGTAAGAACAGCAGCAGCAGCAGCGGCAGCAGCTGCTACTCCAGCGGGCGCAGCACCACCACCACCCTACCGCCCAACCCTACCCGAGCAACTCGTCCGAGCAACCCTGCACATGCTGCAGTTCGCCGTGGCGTACTTCGTCATGTTGCTGGCGATGTACTTCAACGGGTACATCATCATCTGTATCATCGTGGGGGCGTTTTTGGGGGCGTTGGTGTTTTCGTGGGAGGTGATAGGGTCTGGGGATGGGGTGGGGTATGCTTTTTTCTCTTTCTGCTTCCTTCGGAGTATCATTCTCTCGTTCTTTGCTTGTGGTGTTCCGTGTCGGGGTTCTTTGATTGGAAGCGGGAAGGGGGGAAAAGGGGAAGGGGGGCTTTGGCTGACTTGATAATCTGTCCCAGGAACGATGCTACGGCCGTGACGAAGTGCTGTGGTTAGAAGATACCGGGCATCAGTTGTTGCGGGGTGGGTCTCGGTATACTGGAGATGATCGGGGTTGAGACGGTCTGCGATGCAGATACATTAACTTACCCGCATTCAACACTACGAGGTTAAGAGAGATGAGGATGGGTTTTCCATCCTGGACCATGGAGAGGGAGGTACAGTTCAGGAACGGAGGAGGAGCTGGATTCAGGATTCAGTATTGCAGGGTCCGGAAATAGCCTGCCACTACTACTACCACTACTACTACTACTACTACTACTACAGCCCCAGAATAGTTCTCCACTACCGTCAATCCATGTACACCGTAGAGTAGAGTAGAGTAGAGTAGTAGGATATCAAAGACAACAGAATAACCCGTTGTCTAGTACACTACACCACTGCACTACAATCAGAGCCCAAACCCGTCAAAGACAGCATAGAATCCCACCAAGGCAGGTAACTAAGTTAAGGTACTTTGTGCAAGCAATTGTGCTCAAACCAACGATACACAACCCAACCCTACAACCTCCATTCAACCTCTGCCCCCTCAAAAAGAAAACCCCCTAAATAGAATCCGATTCAATCTAAAAGCCATTCAGAACCAACTAACCAACAAACTAAACCAAACCCTAAGTACACTCACGACTTCTACCTCCAGACATCGCACCCTACAGATAGATCTACTTCCAACACCTCTACTTACCAGTCAACGACTGAAAAGCACTAGAGCTACCGCTTAACACCACATCAACTGAAATGCTATAGTACAGGACATACTAATCACTAATCTTCTGGAAAGCGAGTTATGCGCACCACAACGCAAAAAAAAAAAAATGCAGCCGGCCTTGCAGACACACATGCAGATACACCTGCAGTTGCAGTTGCAGTTGCAGGGTCACTCAAGATGTCATGTTCACGCTGTGTCCAGTTGTCGGAACCAGACGGCAATGGCGCCTCCGTCCGGGTACGTACTCAGTAAGTCAAAAAATTACCCCGCTATCCCAAGCGGGGTCAACTCGGATCTTACTCTAACTTGAAAGTTTGCCACTCGACCAAAATGCCCAGGTCGGTTCGCCCTTCTCTCTTAACCCGCGGTACTGACTTCATCATGGCGTAACGCAAGAATTCGATTTCTCCTGCTCAGTGACTGCAATGACGATTCGCATTGGGACTGCATTCTAGTATGTTTTATGCGCGCAGCAAATAGTCGAGTCGTTGTCTTACAACTACGAGCATTGACAACCAAAGGGAACATATGCAGAGTTCAATATGGACACTCTAGATTACAGCGTACGAGATAGGAAAAGTGGGAAGCAAATAGATGAGAGAGAAAAAGAAAGAAAGAAAGAGTCCTATTGGTCCACCTTACTCATTCTTCTTTTTCCCTCTCCGTATCACATATTTTTGGCTCGTTAAATGGCTAAAAACTGCTTACAACTCACCACTGTTGATGATCGTGGGCTTGACGGCGGAGCGGACAGCACCAGAGCCGCTGCCGAGGGCCTCGAGCTCCTTGACGACCTGCATGGACGCCTCGTCAGCAACCTCGCCGAAGACGACGTGCTTGCCATCGAGCCAAGAGGTGACAACGGTGGTGATGAAGAACTGGGAGCCGTTGCTGTTGATTTGGAAGTTAGCGGGAGCTGCTCCCTCTGTTTTAACAAAAGAACTTACGTGTGGGGACCAGCGTTGGCCATGGAGAGGAGACCGGGGCGGTTGTGCTTGTAGATGAAGTTCTCATCGGCAAACTTCTCGCCGTAGATGGAGCGACCACCAGTACCCTAGATGATGAATGAGTTAGTCGGGATGCTTGTTGCTCCTCAACCAGGGCCAATTGAAGAACCAGTGAGAGACACTTACGTTGTGGCGGGTGAAGTCACCACCCTGGAGCATGAACTGGGGGATGATACGGTGGAAGGTAGAGCCCTTGTAGCCCTCACCCTTGGGACGCGTGCAGAGCTCACGGAAGTTGCGAGCAGTCTTGGGGACGTCCTTCTCGTAGAGGTTGAAGTTGATGCGGCCAACCTTGGCTGGAGAGTCGGAGGAAAAAGATCATGTCAGTCAGAGATTCCCTTGCCATTGGAAGACTCTATTCAAAGAAAGAGGGGAGAGATGAAGCATGTCCTAGCCTCCTCTCACCCCGTCACCGAATCCCAAAGAGGGGTAAGAAAAGGCTGCTCCTCTGCCTCTCCCTCTCTCTCTTCAGGCAACAGCAGCAGTAGCAGGAGCTGGAGAGGCAAAAATCGAAAAAAAAAGACGAGAATCAAAATCAAGACTTACGGGCGCTGGAGCCCACAGGGGCGTACTCGACTTCGAAGAAGGCCTTGGTGTTTCCAGACATGGCTGCGGATGTTTGATGGAAAGAACGAAGAGAGAGGAAAGAAGGGGAGTTGCAAACGGGGATGGAGAAGAGGGGACGAGAAGCGAAGGACGAGCAAGGTGGGGTTATTGTTGACCTCAGGCTTCGGGAGAACATTGTTGCTGGAGGGGCAGTCCGCACTATACCGCATCAGGATCAGCTCGATGCACACTGGAAGGCTTCGTCCACCCACAGCCACCAGCTGTGCAGTCTTCCCGCTTGGTCATTCGTGGAGCCTCAGGCTGCCAACCCAGGCTAACAGGGCGAGCTGGTCAGCAGCCCCCAACCGCCGCTGTCGGACCTCTTCCATCCACTTCCATGGAGAGACGCGCGCGCCTCATCATCGAGTCTCATCCGCTGAGCAGCACTCACGACCAATTGGGATCGGGCAGAACAGGGGATGGAGGTGCACTTACAGAAATTCAAGCTTACAAGATGATTAAAGATGGTGCAATGGCTGCTGGTGTGGAGAGGAAAGGGAAATCAAGCTCAAGGGGAAGATATCGGACCGGCGAAGAAAATATTCCAGCCAGCTCCCCAAAAGAGTATGGCCTCGGATTAAGTAATACCACCTCAGCTCAGCTCAGCTTAGGCCGGCCGGAGCTCCCCCAACCTGGTTCCAGCCACCCAGCATTCTCGCCCCGGAATCCCTCGGGAGACACAGCAGCCACGTGATCAGCCCCCTCGACTACAGTTAAACCATAGCAGTACTGACTTGTGATACCATCGTTATTGACAAGATATCTGCAATATTCTGGACAAGGCTATTCAAATCTAGAAACACATAATCCAAACAGAAGATTTGAAAGACTGACCGCTGCATCAACAACTGATCAGCCGTTCCTGTGCATATCAAATCACAGGTAGACCACGGAAGGGCCATCGAAGATGAAGACAAAGTTCACATCGCTAATAGAGGAAAGTGTACATGGAACGATGATAAGAAGAACAGCGAAAAAAGAGGTGGGGTTCGCAGGGCGAGAAGTCTTGTACCCAACACCGAGAACGAAAGTAAAAGAAGTCATAAAAGCTCCTCCAGGTATCAACGTCTCATTCCGCATGGTTACTCATTGTCATGCACAGTATATGCAGAAAGATACCGCCATGATTAGCAGTTAAAGGATCATCATCGCTTGCGTGATGGCAAACAGACGATCAAGAAAAGTCGGGGAAATATGTAGGAGAAGTGAAGAAATAAGGTACAACATGTCTCGCCATAGACATGAATTTGAAGTGGCGGGTAGAAGATATCGAGCATTGAACAACAACAATATGTTATGCCGAGCTCATCGGATCGGCCGTACTACCGGAAGTCATCTTCCTCATCGTCTAGTTCATGAGGGTCTAGCTGATGAACAAGCTCTTTGGTCTCCCGAGCGATCTCAAAGGCAATGGGCGGAAGTTTGTTGGTGATGGCGCGGAGCTCGACGAAATCAGAGACCCCTTCGCCCTCGGCGGCGGTGCCTGTCAGCCGGTCCCGGTGCTGTTCCAAGGTCTGGATGATGGAGCCGGCACGTTGACGCAGAGTGGGACTGACTTCAGGACCACTGATGTAGTGCTGCGTGGAGGAGTTTACCTGGGACACCACGGAAGAAATGGCAGAGATATGGGTGCTGATGGTGTTGAGGCCTTGTTCAGAGCGAATGCTAGCAACAAGAGCCTGGATCGACTGAACGAGTCCGTCCGTTTGATCCTCGAGGTAGTACTATATTCCAAGTTAGAATCCGCCTACAGGGGCGCTAAGAGTGGATGCACCCACCTTGAGTTCATGGAGCTCGTGGTCCACAGACTTCACGGGATACATTGTATGCATTCCTGCATTCATACCGGGCGAGGCAACTTCGTGCTCAGCAGGAGCGCTCATGGCACTGTAAACGGAATCGTTACGGCTGAGCCGACCCTGGCTGGGCGCCACACTGAAATAGTCGGGGGACTTCATCTGGGCGACTTGCGCTTCGTCGTTCTCGTCATCGTTCAATTCGTCTGCCGGAGTGGGCCGAATTTTCACGATGCGGATCAGCCCAATAACTGCAGATGACAAATGCGAAGCTGCAGCATCCAGGAGAGAAAGCGGGGAGAGTCCACCGGAGCTGGCGAAATTCTTGGTCGCAGTAATCATGTTGTTTGCAGTGGCAGATACTTTGCGGGTGGCCTTGGCACTCAGCGCGGAGAGCTCCTCGTTGCTCTCTTTGCGCAACTCTACATCGTGAAGGACGTGGCGCACGGCAACAACGACGGCTTTGATCTGCTGCATGACCAGCTGAGGGTCATCCTCCCGCGCTATGCGCAGCAGTTCGTCGATGGAGATCTGGAATTTGGTCACATGCACATCCATGACGAGGCCCGTCTCCTGGATAAATTCGTTGTCCTTCACGACGCTCGCGGCATCTGCGCGCAATTCCGACATGCCGATGGATGAGGTGCGCTGTCGTAGTTGAGTCTTCGCTTTGGCGTACCGTGCCTTCCATTGTTTTACCTCCTCTTCCAGTCGATGGACCTCCGTCGTAAGCCGCTCTTCCTGCTCCCACTTGGTATGGCTCTGTTCCGATAAGGCCCTCATCTCCACGAGGAACCCTGCTGCCTCCCGCCTGACTTCTTCGGTCACCCTTTGTTGCTCTTGCAGCTCCGTCTGCAAGCTTTGGTGCTTGATTTCAAGGTTACTGAATTTGGCCTGCAACTCAGCATCACCCGTGCTCTGCCGCGAAACCTGATCGATCTGACTGCGCAGTTCCATCTCAATATCCTGCTGTTCAGTCCGGACCTTTTCGAGTTCTTGCTGAAGGGAGTGGTTCAGATCTTCGGCCTGCGTTATTTTGCTCTCCAAGTCCGACTTGATATCCTCCCACTCTTGGCGTTCTGCGACACTGATCTGTTCCACCTGGTTAGCTAGAATGGATTTTGACCGCGGCGAGCCAACATGCCTGTGATTTGTCTTGTTCTTCCTGATATCTTGAAAGCTCCTCGTCTTTCGTTTTGACCAACTCTTCCAGCATGCCCAATTTGCTCTGGTCTTCCTCGTAATTTGAAAGCTCCTGATCCCTCAATTTGAGCAGCTCCTCTAGCTTTGTCACCTTTTCTTGGAGGAAAGACACCTGCGACTGGGTCTCGGCCAGCATTTTGCGGTCACCATCTCCTAAAGTTGTCCCGGTCCCTCTCCTACTGTTGAGAACCACATCCAGGGCAAACGCATCACTGCGCGCATCGTAGTCGTCTTCCGTACCCGCCGCGTCGTCATCATCCTCCACCATGGTACTTTTATTGGGAACAATTGTGTTGCTCTGGAACGACTTCGCCGTGGGGCCATCTCCGTTCATGCTAGGCGGTGGGCCTCCTAAGGAACCCTGGCGTGGGGGGTAACGCATCGGACTCGGAGGCGGCATCGCCCCGGGCGGATACCGTGGGGGTCCCCGGTTCTGTGAGTTGCGGCCCCCGGGGCCCGGCGGAGGAAACCCATTGGGCGGAAAGCCGGTGGGAGTGGGAGGAGGGCGTCCGCGAAAGCTCGGGGCGGGACTGACGGCGCGACTGGTATCTCGGGCTGGGAACTGCGGAAACCGACGCTCGAGTTCCGTGTACACATCCGTCGCAAGATCTCTGAACCGTTGGTGTTGCAGCGAAGCCAGCTTCTTCCGTGCCTGATTGCGCTTCTCGTGGAACTCCTTTCGCGGGGTGAGGAACGGAGGGATATCGGGACGAGGGGGCCGGGAGGGCGATGGCATTGCCTGCTGTCGTCGGAGTAGTTCATCGTAGACGTCCGTACTGAGCTCGTGGAACTGGGTGGGCGAGAGTCGCAGCAGCTTGTCGCGAGCTTTGTTCGATTTGCTATTTAGGCGATCTTCCCGATACGGGCCTTGGAGAAACCGGCGCAGAGCGACGTAGTGTTGGCCCAGGACTTCCTCCAGCCGCCTCTGCCGCTTGGTGCGGTCGGGTAAGGTCCCATCGCTCGATCGCGCGGCCACGGAGCTCGGCGGAGACGGGTTGCCAGCATCGCTCAGCGGGCCCGAGGAGCCATTTGGGATTCCCTCCACCGTCGACGAGCCACTGGGGACGCCTGATGTTGGCGGTGTCGCGAGATTGCTGCGTGTCGAAAAAGTCGGGGAAAAGGGCGGGTCGGTTTTATTGTATTGGTTGATCCCAGACCAGTCACTCCCATCCACAGAGACAGGCGACATGGTCCCTGAGTGACCGTTCATAGGTCAAAGTGATTTTGGTCACTGAGCGGCTCGAGAAGACCGGGGGGTGCAACTATGCATGCGAGGATGTGCGACGGGCGGAACTGCGGCACCCGGGCCATCGACCAGGCTCGATGGAGGGTTTAGCAGAGGAGTGGAGTTGTAAGAAGAGATCGCTTGTTGTAAATGTCGGCCAGACTCAAAAGAAAGAGCTTGACGCAAAGGCCAGTTCTGTGACTCTGGAGGGGGTGGTAAGAGGAAGAGTTCAGCAGCGACAATAGGAGACTCAGTAAAGGCGAGCCGGTACGGGGGGGAAGTAGTTTCTCGGCCAAGTCGGCACGGGCACCAATAATGGAGAAGAGACGACCAGCAAAGATGAAGTAAACAATGAGAACAGGAAAGGTCGGATTAGGATCAGATTAAAGCCGGGCAAATTAAGCCACCGGGGAAAAAGTCGCAGCCACCAGGAAGAACCTTGGAAAACAGCCTCAAGGAGAAATAGTCCATGGGTGGAGGAAGAGGAAGAAGAAGAGTGGTGGTAAGAGTGAAATTAGCAGTGAGTGAATGGAGTTAGTGAGTGTTGAGCCACCGAAAGACAGAAAGTGGACTGAACTGTGGACTGAACTTAGTCTAGCCGGAAGATTAATGACTGCGGCAAAGCAAAAGAAGCACCAGCCCAGCCGCAGGTGTTTTTACGAATACGGAGGATACTCAATAGGTAAGGTACCACAAAAAGGGGTATCGTATGGTTCAGTCCGTTCAGTCCACAATGTCTGCCTAGTTCTTGAGCTGTGCACTCTTACCGGTGCTTCAGTAGCAGTCCGATCTCAGTTTCGACCACGCCGACGTTGTGACAGGCACAGACTCTTTCCCTCTCTCTCTCTCTCTCTCTCTCTCTCTTTCTCAATCCCTCCTTTGCAACTTGAGCAGTCAGAAATGATGCGGAGTAGCTGTTCGACTGTCTCAGATTGACCCCAGATAGACCAGATAGACACCCGCCAGACTGATAAGAGCCCCGATCGTCCGTTGACTACTGGCCCGCCCTCCTCTCTCTATAAGTGTGGTGCAGTAAACAATCTGAGTACTGTACTTCGAACGCGGCGTCAACACTCCAGGTGCAAAGGCGATCATCTCCAGTCACATCCTCCTCGACTAAAAATAAATGCTTCATCATCCCAGCTAATGCAGGTACGAAACTACGAATACACCGTAGTGCGTCCGTCCAGGAATTCATGATTTCCTTCTTACCATGAAATACCAATATACGATACGATGACTGACTGGACCGACACATTGAACTCCACTCCTCCGCCCGGAACTGATCGATCGGTTCTAAACTGACGCACACCGTGTGGCGGTGGCTGCTGGTGCTGCTGGTGCTGCTGCTCCCAGCACCTGCCGAACAGCCACTGCATAATTCAAGGCACACTTATACATTCACCCACCCATCAACCTCTTCGCTACCAACCCCTTAAGTTAGACTCTACGGAAACAAAACAAGCATTTCCTGCCCCCGTATCCCTCCCATCAATGCCAAAAACCCACCCTCTTGAGGCTGGTGTCCCTCTCCCTCTAGGGATGACCAGTGACAAGCCCAGTGTCGATTGAAAGGAAGGAAAAAAAAAAAAAAACTGGCCAGCCCCCAACATGCGCTTCACTCCAAGCCCCCAAGGGGGGGGAAGGGGAGGGAGCACAAGCACCACTTTTGCAACCGGCTCTCCACCCGCCCATCCATCCATCTGGTCGAGACTTTTCGCTGCTAAGTTAGTTCAGGAGGTAACTTAGTTACGACTAACTTTCGTTGTTGGCCTCTGCCGAGATTGCGACGAGTCCCGCGCACGTTCGAATTCGTTTGGGGTCCAGAACCCAGAACCCAGACCCCAGAGCCCAATGCCCCTTCAGAGCTTGGATCGGCTTATCCTAGGCCTGTGTTTTTTTTTGTCCGTCTTCTTTGTGGTCGTATGGGTGAGGATGGCAAAACCTGTTCATGCGACGAAGAGAAAAAGAAAAAGAAGACAGTGGATTTTACTCCGTAGTCTATGGTCGTTAGGTTTGAGCTATTGCTTGGGATCTTGGATTGCGATTGGTGTACTGTTTCTGAGTGATTATTGCTCATTAAGGTAAGTAAGTGCCTAGGCTTGAAGGTTAGCCTACGGTACTTAACTTTGTCTCTTTCCACCCCCCCTAAGCTTAGGGCGTAGGCAGCATCTCAGGGGGCGGCCGCCAGTTCGTAGCGTGGAGACACACCACAGTCTATGTATAACTAACCGGTGGGCTCAGAAGGCTAGAAGGTTCTAGTTACCTTCAACTACCTTCCGTGCAGTTTCATTGACTCCAACAGTACTCCGTAGCGCTGCAAACGGTAGGCAACAAGAACGCATACTCCATCTCGTCGGACTCGATATCCATTCTCCTTGGTTTATCCCAAGAAGATGGTCTCCATCAGTCTTCGGCAGACAGTTTTTGAGTTGCCGAGCCATGGGCGCTTTCCGGACGGCAAACAAACGTCAACCCGGTTTTCAGGCCCCAAGCCACGAGACTACCAACTATGTCCCATGCAACAACTTTTCGGTATAAATGGACAGTATGGAAAGAGGAGGAAACCCGAAGCTGGGAAATCAACTCCGGGGTATAAGTTAGCAGTTGACCGACGCTGTCCGGAGCAAATGGCTTCTCAGAAGACTGGCTGGTCATTGGTCAACGTCTTGGACGTAGATGTGGTAAACTACACAATACGTTGCTAGAGCTGATTATTTCAAGCAGCTCCTTTCCATATCTCATCTTTCGTGAGTCTCTAAATCACCTTGTTTTGATTATATCTGAATCGTGGCATAGTCCCCCAATATAGGCGACGGAAGTGTATGTTTTTCTTTCCACACTCTTGTCAAATTGTGGCACGATATGATTATTAATGATCGATGAGTTCTGCAGACCATCTTGACTTGAACCCTATAGCAATTTATTCTTGGTAGAAGAGTCGTACTCTATAAATTGATTTGTGGAGTCAAAGTTGTAACAACTATCCTGCTGGTCGTGATGAAATCCTATATTCAAAGATGGATCTTTCATATGGGGATGGAACACCCCTGCACGCAGCTCGCATGCGAGCGATATCCGCTTGTTGATTCCATCCATATATCATGTATTGTGTACTTGTAGCCCACAAAACAGGGTAAACAGCCATGTTTCCCACCCTCGACGACAAATGATGAAGATGAATAGGAAGCTCCAGCCCTCGCTCACAAGGACGTGGTCTAGATCATCTCAAGTGGCCATGGAAAAGGCCCTTGCTGTGGTTTGACAAGGAATTTTGGGGAGGAGGGGGGGAGGGACGAGACGAATGCCGAGGTATCTTTCCAAAGTCTGCCATATTGAGTACAGTACACTACAGTCCAGTACTCAGGCCAGGCCCAGTTACTGTATCTTCCAGTTCAGGTCTCGTTCCTTTAGTCCTCGGGGGCCTTCGCTGTCCTCAACCATGCGGCACCGCACGCGGCAGCTCAAGATCCACCCTCCAAAGCGGATGCACCGGAACCTCAGCGCTGCAACCCTGCACCGCGGCATTCACGAACAGCGTCTGGTCCCTAGGTCTCAACGGGGCTGGGTCCTCCGAGCAGTGGCTCGTTGCCATGACCGCTGGGGCCGCCGCCTCCTCCTGCTTCCCCGGCTCCACCAGCTGGGCAAGCTTACTGATGACGGTCGATCGGCCGTAGTCGATGGCCGTGAAATGCGATGGCTCGTTCTGGGTGCCCAGCCCATCAGGATCCTGATCTCGAGGACTATTGCGGGTTTCTCGCCAGTGCGCGAGCATGGCCCCCCACCCTTCGTGAATATGTCCAAAGCAATGCATCCGGGGTCTGGCGCGGGCGATGGCCTTGAACAGATCGGGGCAGCCGGCTCGTCGTCCGCGTGAATGCGTATCCCTACTAGTATAATCCATGATGCCTCGTGGTGGGCCGTGAGTGACGACCACATCGATCTGATTGCTGCGGCCGTCGAACTGGAAATCATGACCCGTGTCCGGGTGGTACTGGAAGCCCCAGTCGCCACCGAGCGAGGGGGTGCCCGGGCTGGCGTAGACGGTGAGCCGCGCGCCGTTGGCCAGGATGAAGACGTGGATGCCTTCGTCTAGCAGGACAATCCCGCTGCGTTGCTGGAGGTCGTCGGTGAAGAGCTTGATTCGGACTTCTTCATAGTCCCCGTAGACTTGCCGCACGAGGCGGCGGTCGTCTTCGCTGTGGTCGAGACCGCTGGCTTTGACCTTCTGTTGGAAGGTCGGGGTGTCCAGGGTGAAGTCGTGGTTGCCGGGGATGACCAGCTTGAGGGGTGCGTCCAGTTTCTGGAGGTGCTGGATCGTGGTGCGGAACTCGGTCAGATAGGAGCTGTCGGTCAGATCGCCGCAGTGAATCACTACGTCGGCGTGGTGCTGGGAACACTCTCCGGGGAGCTCGTGGCCGTGGGTGTCGGAGAGGATGAGGAAGCGGGTTTTGATATCGGATGGGATGGAGGTTTCCATGTTGGGTGTGAAGGATGGTTCTAGAACTTGATGAATTCATAATAGTTCTAGAGGTGATAGGAGGAAAAGGATGAAGAATGAAGACGAAGACGAAGAATGAAGAATGATTGAAGAGGATGTGAAAGAAGATCTGGAGTCACAAAAGTAAGTATGCCCTAATCATGTTGCTATATACGGGTCTGTATTCCAACACTACACCACAATTGCGTACTACGGTAGATGTGTGGGCAGTCAATCATGCTGATCCATATGATATGTCTAACAATAATAAATAGAATACTTCTAGAAGAATATTCTATAAGTATAATCTGTACAAAGGAGAGAAAGTCCCCGCCGTCCTTCTATCTCGAGCTCTTATTGCCCAGCAATCGAAGAAGCCCAGCGAACTCACTGGAGTATATTGTCTGCGAGGCTGGGGAGGGTCTGGGACGGACTCGATCGGTCGATCAGAGTGAGCGTGTTGATAAAATATTGTTGTCTTTAGCAAACTAACAGCCACGCTACAGAACCGCGAGGTTGTTTTTGATGGACGGTTGTAGACGCCTTCCTAAAGCACTGTCCTGTCCACTGCTCTTTCCTCCGTATTGCAATTGGCTGCACTGTTCCTGTTCCTGTATACAGAGACACTGCAACTGCATCGAATCCTAGCTGCTCCTACCTCGAGAGCAGTCTGCCATTTCCCGCTCAAGCAAGCTACCCCAGGAAGCTGTCAGCAGGATACGAACCATTGTGAAGGGG